TAATCTTAAAATCTCAAATATATATATATATATATATATTATATTTTAAATCAATTTTACCAATGGTGAAAATCAAATTATCATATCCAAAGTAAGAATTTAAAATTTAATAAATTTGAATTGACTTATCCGAACAAAACATTTAAAGAATGATAGAAATTGAAATCAAAGTAATTCAAATTTCAAAAATTTCAAATTCCTTGAATTTCTAAAGTTCCCCATCCAAACACACCACGAGGGAAGTTCCCACCATTATCTTCCATCTTTAGACAGTTTTTAACCTTATGTCTTGTATGTTGTCCATCACTGTTGCAACTTTTTGCACTCTATGTACTGAATAAAGAACCCTTCATACAATTTGTGAAATTGTCAATAAGATCTGTTTGTGTATTGAGTTATGACCCCAAGTTCGGTTTATGAGGTGCTTATAGATAATTTGAAGTTTTGAAATATGAACCTCGTGGATCAAAATCCTCAAGAACTTAATTGCCGTTATGCTTTAGCTTGTATTATTATACTATGTTATTTTAGTTTGCTATAAAGTTGTAATGTCGAATATTTATTATGAATATAATATCACATTTAGTTTGGATTTTATGATAGGTATTTCAATTATTAAGGTTATTTGTATTATGGTATAAGTTTTTGGGAGCTCTATGAATTTGCAAAGTCTCGAGTTTGACCACCTTTGTTGTATATACATAAAAAAAATTCTACGTCTAATGTTCAATTACATGCGTGTTGCTGTATCAGACAGCTAATCCATAGTTCAACATCAAAAAAAGCCACTGGATGTTAAAGTGTGGCAGCCAACTCATCATTAATAGTAAAAGGATGAAACAAAAAATGGTAGTTCATCAACTAACAATACTGCATTGCACAATAATGATTTTTATCATTAACAGTTCATGTTACTGTTCATAATGAAGTTACAATAAAGAAAGTATCAATCAGGAAAATTAGTTTCTTCTATAATAAAACTTGATAAGTAAACCATGCGTACCATGTTATATGCTGTAGAAAGTATTTTAATTGAAAATTTGAAATTGCAGAATAGTTTCAAATGGATCGTACATATAGAGTTTTAACTAATAACTACTTCAGATAACCAGTCCAGCAATAAGTGTGGCCTGAAAAGTTGTGCACTTTGAGACTTCCGTACTCATAAATTGAAAGAATGAACATTGCACACAGCAGAAAATTTCACATGTATCTATCAACAAAATAATATTTGAAATGTAGAGGAATAATATTGGATTCAAGGTTAAAATGTCAACCACAAACCTGATCAATTAAATCTGGATTTGAAAGTGCCCAACCTTTCTTTCGGTATGCTTCACGAACATCCTCACAAGAATTACAACATTCGTCATCTGACTGTAAACATAAATATATGCAAGGTTCCGGTAAGCATCAACTTTTTTTATGATAAGAACATTTCCATCAAAACCACGTGCAATACATCATTTATTCATTATGAAGCCTTAATAGAAAATCAAATATATCAAATGGGAGAAAAATGCAAGGGTTTGACTATTAAATTTGCCTAGTTGAAATTAGAATATTGTTTATCTAGAAAAAAAATAAAGCCCCTTGAAGTTTTTACGTGCAAATAGCAATAAAAAAAATCAGATTTCCTAGTATGCACTGTACATGAACATTCTCCACTCTCTTTTCTCCAGAAAACAATACATGCACAAGGCAAGACATGCATATAAAACACAATTTAAAAACCAGGCATACCGCTTCAGCACCGTAACAAGAGCCACAATAAGTCTCATTGTGCTCGAGCCTGCCTCCATGTCTTTGCAATGGCTTTTCAATCTGACCAAATAAAGAGTTAGATGAAAATGCTCTACAGAAAAGGTAAGCAAGACATAAACCTGATGTCTTAAAACAATAATTCAAGAAGAAACCCTAGATAGAGTACTACTGATCTAATCTGAATAAGTGCAAAAATGAAACAAATTGCATCTCAAAGGAATCAAGATAATTGAGTGCCGACACAAGCTCATTTTCCAAAGACGAAGTTGCCTCTAAATGTTTTTTAGTCAGTTGGGCCTACTAAATATTAATGTGTCAATTACTACAACTGTGAATGACTGTCAACTTTTGGAGAAGTTAAATGAGAGAACTTCTATAAATTAACTTAAATTCATTTAGCATTATTATTTTCTTCTCTCATAAATGCTTAATAAGAAATTTATCCAAACTAAGCTGAAATTCAAAAATACATTTGTCGATTTACCTTGGGAGCACCAATTCCTTCTTGCCTTGTTTCTATCACATTGCCATGAGAGTCTAATCTCTTCTTGATTATATCATGTTTCTGAGCATTACACAGCAAAATACAAAAAACATTATTATATTACCAAATTACAGCAACAAAACCAAAATCAAAACGAAATTGATATCTAAATGCTGTTAATTTATTTATTAAGCGCAAAATTGATAATAAAAAATATTAATGAAGTTATTTTAATTTAATAACACATACGACATCTAGATGCTGCTCTCCGCTAATGTCCATGGCGTCAAGACTGAGTATGGAACATGGAAGTGCAGGAAACGTCACATCAAACTGCACTTTCAACATCAAAATGATAGCGACAAGTTAATTCATAATTATTTCGTATATACTTGCTTGCATTGCAGAAAAAAATAAAAGAAATCAGTAATTACATTGATACGCAGTGTTTCGCCTCTGGAAGTGTCCACAATAAGCTTGGTCTCCGTCACCGCATGGAGATACATCCCTGAAGGCAGTGGCAAATACGACAATGAGTTTTGATTGGGGCTTTTAATAAAAATGGCGGAAGGAAAGGCAAAATGGCATGGGAAAGAAGAGTACAAAGCTCAGAGAAGAAGAGCAAGAGCATGATGATGGAGGATGCGAGGGTGATGACGCCACCGGAGAGCGTACGACTATAGAAATCTTCGTTGATTTTAGGGTACGCATCGAGGTTGCGGAGCTTGCTCATTATGCTGTCCATGATTGAATTTCCCCCAAATCGGTGATTATTGTTGTGGATCCAAAACCAAAGATCTAAGATATAAACCTTAACTTTGATTAAAAAAAAAATATGGAGAAAGATTAGTAGAAGTGTTTTGAAATCGAAAACACCCCGTTCAATCAAAATTCTTTTGGTTTGAATTGTGACGAAGCATATTTATCTCTGCGTGTGCGTGTTTTTTTACCAAATAAAATATTCCGACTCTAAAAAACATACGAAAATGTTTTTGTTATTTGTCTGCGCAGGGAAGGAAGAAGGCTTTTTTTGCTGCGTCAATATAGGAAAATATTTTATTTTTTACCAAATAAAATATACCATTTTCTTTTTGGATTCAGATCTTCTTAATTTTCAAAACCTCTCTCCTCTCGACTTCTCTGTCAACCAAATTTACACAATTTTTTTCTTCCTTAAGTATACTTTTTAGTCCACGTCAATTTTGTTGCTCCAACCTTTTTCTAGTATAAATTGAATTAAGAGCACCATAACCATTTTATGAGTAGTGCCAAAATCAATGTCATAACGTTGGATCAAAGAATCAAACTATTGACATCCCAAATATTTAAGTAAATCATGAGGCAATAAAACTGTGTAAGCGAAGTGTTTTTGTTTTTTATTTGTAAAAGAATTATTTGTAATGGCAATGGCCCATGATAGGAAAATATAATTAATTGATAAAAAAATTAAGAAAACCATCAAGTTAAAAAAATTATATGATAACCAAATAAATAGTAACTCCCCCCTTCCCCCCACCGCAATCCCCCAAAAAAATAATGCAAACATGACAAACAATGAAAACCAAATTCAGACGGGAAAAATAATTACAAAATGGCATACCTGCACTCTGCTGAGGATTTATCCCAACACCATCTGCAAGTATAGCATAATGAATGTGATTTATAGCAAATCAGCTTTGTTCGTACAATAACAGAAAGATGAACGAATATAGAGTAAATTCTTCTTCCCTCTCTTGGATTTTGTGTGCAGTATACTAATATCCCATCTTTTATGAAAATACCCAAAAAAAATCCCTTGTATTTATACATTGCACTACAATACATTGCAAAATGTTATTGGGCCCAATAGATTTAATAACACAATTTAACCCTTTTTTTGGTCTATGAAAATTTAGGGGAAGGGAGATTGCCCAATTCTGAGATCAAGACATGCCACAAGCCTTAGTGGAGGCTTACAATGGTTACAACTTATCAATGAAGGACTACTAACAAGAACCAAATCCACCACCTTTTTTTTATTAACACTTATTCTCATCCTACCAGTCAAGCCAACCCTCATTGGTACTAGTTAGAATATACAAAAAAAAATATCTAATAATATCTTGATTGTATCTTAAAGTAATCAAGAGTAATTCAGAATATACTAGGTCATCTATGAGGATTGGTTCTCAACTTCTCACATCTGTTTATATTCCATTATGTGTTTTCTTATTTAAATTGGATTATGATTTAGTATTAACAATAGGGACTAATGCTTTATATTTTGTAACACAAGTCGAGATAGTATGTCAACAGCTTCTAGTTCGCTTACTTTAATGCTCATATGTTCAAAGAGCTCACCGGTGCACATTCTGAAACTTTAGTTCCCTAGTGAAGTAGCAAGATTTTATGATTGGTGTTGAGAAATTAATTTACTTCTTGTCATAGATCTGTACTTCTTTACTAAGGTAGTACTATTGTACTATGTTAATATTACTTGCTCTTTCGTTTATTCCAACATAAAAGGACCCATCCTCCCCATACAAAGCTAGATAATGAATTACAAATAAACATTAAGGGTTTGTCTATGCTCCTCTCTCTCTAAAACTAGATCCCTACGGACCAATTGATGGCATAGATAGAGCCCACATGAAGAAGCACCATGGGATAGTGATAAACAAAACAATGCCTTATTTTAATATAAAAAATAAATTTTATTACAGAAGTAAGGAACGTGTAAACGTGCAACTAGTTACATGTTCCTTATACTAAAAGGTAGATGAAAAAACTGAATAATGCAGCAAGACTACCTAGTCTCTTTACAACAACAACAGAAGCCTTATTCCACTAAGTGAGGTTGGCTATTCAGTCTCTTTGCATTTCCTTTCCAAACTTGCAAGTCCCTAAAAGTGGCCATGACGAGAACACCAAAGAGAAAGCTAAAATTAAAAATCCCATCCCATAACAAATATATGGTAAAAAAATATGCCCTTAAAGATGCTAACATTCTGCTCTAGACAGGTTCATCAAAGGATTGCATACATGTCACACTACCATAACAGATCACCCTCCTTACTTTTACTAAGAACCTTTCTAACAAACCAGCAAAAAATTGTTCGACATGGGAGAGACGAATTGATTCAAGTTAAAGCAAAAAGAGAATGCAATTGACGATACTAGAATATGGGAAATGGAAAAGAAAAAAAAAAAAAAGTTTTGATGAGCCTACGGATCACAATGCTTTTTCCATCTCAGCATACAATTTATCTTCTTTTTCATTATTTTAGGAGCCAGGGGAGTTAAAAGAGAATTTTGTTCTGAAATAATGGTATAACTCTTTTTCACAACAGAACAGAGCATTTTAGAAAAAAGAAGATTCATAATCTTAGATTTTACCCAGTTCTTAAAAACACTTGGTTGTCTTAGATTTCATAATTTCATTTTCACCCCCAAAAATACCAATGTGTCTAGTATCCAACACAATGAACACACTGTCAAAACAATTCTCCGAATTTGAAAAGCTCCGAGTAAAATTAAGCGTTCTCTGAATAATCTCCCAAACTTGCACAATCAAGCTCCCAAATCTAATCAATAAAATGAAATAAAATCTGAATCTATCCCAAATAGAAAAATAAGGTAATATAAAAGAAATTACCATTGGTGATGATGGCGCTGGCTTGGGGAGGCACTTTGAATTTGAGAAGGGCGGTGAAAGGTGCAGAGTTTGGAACACTGAATCTGAAATTGCTAAAATAGAAAATTAGAAGATTGGGGCGATTAAGTTAAGAAGACGGTGAAAAGGAATTGAAATGAGATGACAACACACACTTTGAAGAAAAGCTTTGGATCGGAGGTGAAGGTTACTTTGACCTAACATCCCTCTCTGTATACCAAAATGTGTTTTATACATATCATTTCATCCATTTCAAAAACTCAATATTAAAATAAAATATATATTTATTTTTATAATTTAAGTATTATTTTTATACATTTTTTTCTTAAAAATATTGTTTTTGTATTTATTATAGTATTTTTTTTAAAATTTTATCTCTTTAAATATAGATTTTTCATATCTATTTGAAAACATTTCTTAAAATAATTTATATCATAATTAAAGATATAATTTCTATTCTCAAAATTATTTATTATAAATTTTAATTATAATATACTATATATATTATAAAATATTATATCATAGAGTCCAAATTCAATCCAAGTATTTTTAGTCCAATCATTATAACCTATAACTCACATTGGACCGGTCCGTAACGAATCGGATAATTCATTTTATTAGTTATACTTATCTTTATCGTTATAATTTTTATAGATAAAAAAAATATTTTTCAAACAATTATGGGATGTCATTGTAGAGAAAAAAAATTAAGAAATATTTAATTAGCCTCACAAAACTCATGTAGTCTGGGCATATATTTATGTTTAAAAATAATTATTTTCTTATAAAATTTAATTATAATATCATTTATATATTCAAAAAATTTACTCATTATAAATTATAAATATATATATTAAACAAATAAATGTAATCTGATCCTTTAAACATGAGAATATTAGTTTTTCATCTCTTTGAAAATAATTGTGAAAAGCTTCTGCCAAAAGGAAAATTCTTGAGCTAGGAAAGTTATTTTTTTAATACTTAAATATTTTTAAACTTTGCAAAACAAGTAAGTTTTGTTTTTACTCCCGGTAAAAAAATTATATTTTTCATTCCTCTAAAATTTAAGATTATTATTTTTAATTCCTACTATTATAACTAGGTTTGATTACCCATAAGATTAGTTAACCTCGAATGCAATGTCAATATGTTTGGCAATTTTTTTTCTCATTCCACTGAAAGTAAATTACAAACAAACCTTAAGTTGAATCAAAAGTCAAAAGAATGTTACTTTTTTTTAAAAGCTGATTTGAAAAGATAAATTCAAATCATCTTTACAACTATAATCTAAACATACACTATATGATTCCTTATAATTACTTATTTGTTTATTAAAAAATTAAATGATTATCCTAGTAAGGGGTGCCGACAACTATTTATAATATCATGTTTAGATGTGACATTTATAAATTTTTTAATAAATTTTTAAAATAAATAATATTTTTAGAATTAAAAATAAATAAATAAATAAATTGCAGGAACCAAAATCAAACCCTTTCATTTTATAAAACTACAAGTTGTGTTTTTTTTTAATAACAAACTAAACATGGAAAAGTATCATTTCTAACTTCATATTATCACGTAATAAAAACTTTCCATGTAACAATTCTCTGCTCTAATTTACTCTGATTTACCAAACGAGTAAAATACTGTACACTAATTTACTCTAATACTTACCAACTTGCTCTGCTCATGTAGGATTGCAGCAACTTAATATCTAAAATCCTAAGTTCCTAGCCTGAAACATATTAACTAGAACTGCCTAAGTTACAATTCTTCCAAAAATAAACTGCCAGTATCCTAAATCGCCTATAAATTTGTTACTATACAGACACAATTTACTCTTTATATATATATATAACAAGGAAGTACTCATGTCGATGCCACAGATTCCCTACAACAAGGAAGTACTCATGGGATTAGCGAAGAAATGCTCTCGGAAAACTAACTTTGATTGGCTGGATTTGCTTCCAATAAGATCCTGAAGTAACGAGGGTCCCCCATCAAACATATTTTGAAGCATCTTCCTCACAATTAGGTGTTTGTCCAGAACCATCAGTTCCAAGAGGGTTCTACAGCTCTGTCAGAAAAACAAATCAGCATAAACACTCAAAACCAGCATACAAACAGAGGGTAGCAAAGGCAGCTATAGCATTAACAAAATTGAATAATCATTTAGCTATGAAGCCTGATACTTAGTACGACACAGGTATGATACGACACGGATACGAAGATAAACAGGTATGATACGACACGGATACGAAGATACAACAATTTTTGAAAATTTAGGATATAATATGTCCTGGATACATAACTAAAAAATCATAAGAAAATTTATGAAGATGTAGAATATTGGTAAAGAAATAGACATTTATCATTTCTCGTTAATTTATAACTATGATGATAAGAATTCACTAAAAAAAGATATTTGCGATTATAATAAATAGACTTATAGAATATAGTTTCTGCTCATACTATAACCAATTTTAGTTCACTATATCAATAAATGCATCTTTGGTAGAACTTAAAACAAATATGAGTTCTATAATAACATAGGACTCAAGCATCTGATATGGGATTGGGAAGCACAACAAAATATGATGCTGATAAGGGACACGTGGCACATGATCCTATTAATGTGGTAACAGAATTTGGCAAGTCGAGGCACGTGAAAAGCACAAAACTTGAAAGTTACAAACCAACGTAAAGGGGAAATGAGAACATATATTGGGAGGGGACAAAAATGAAAAGGGTTGGATTGTATTTTCTGCATATTCTCCTGTGTTTTCTTCTCTCACTATATTTGGCCAATCTCATGTCATGAGCTTGGATGACCTTTTATCTTCTGTTTTCGGATATTTGTCAATATATTTTCTGTCCATATAATTGATCCTATTAATATTTAGAGGGAGTATTTTAGATCAATTAATACTTGTTACTGTTATATTGCTGAGAATTATATCAACATCATTACTAAATTATTGTCTAATGTTATTTGTATCACTCTCCTCTCCCCCCTTACCATCATTTAGAAGCATAGCTTCTAAGTCTGGTTTTTCCATAGACAACTATGTCAATCCAAGAAGTTTAGCACCATTAGCAAGAGGATGATGTATATCTCAAATAATGTGCCACAACCTTGCCTCTCCTTTTTATATCCTTCATCATAGACAAAAATCAAAGGTTCAAATACACAGACCAAATATTCTACCCATTTTGGATCTATTTTGTTTTTCTTCAAAGGATGAATAGAGGAGTGTTTACTTTGATTCCTCTCAAGCATGAGAAAGAATATGGTTGCACAAGAAGTTTAAGCCAAGCTTTTTGGATACTTCTTGGGTACGTATCTAAGAAGTATCCTAGAAAAAAAGTTAAAAAAAATAAATGAAAAAAGATTAGATACTTTTTGGATACGTATTATTCAAAAGTATTTGAGGAGCATCGATATTTGACACAGGTACAACACTGATACTTTTACATTTTTGACATATACAGGCATCATCGATGTTTAGGCTCAAAATCACCAGTCAAAAAATAATAGTGTAAAAGCCTCGCATGATGCCAATGAACTTTCCTGTTATACTTCTATAGTTCTGATAAATGACCTTGTAATAATTGGAGTTATATATTGAGAAACTTAAAGGTTTGTAAAATCCTAGCCATTGATCTTCTATAGTTTCACGGTATACATAGATCCTCCTTTGTCAGCTTCTTTTCACCTTAGATGGAAAGATAAAATGTGACTGCAAAATACACACGGGTGTAGCAATAGATTTCACAAACTGTTGGAGGTTTATTGCACATTTTGAAACTAGGGAGGTGAAGGCATGTTTCAATAATACCTCGGGAAAAAGATCATTACTCAAACTTATCTCTAAAAGATTCTTTAATTCTTTAAGAAAAAACAAATCGAAAGAGTTCAGAAATTTCAGAATAAACTAGCAATTTCAGAATATAGGGAAGAATTTTGAAATTTTGGTAGAATACCTGTGGATTCAACACGTGCATGTGATGTAGAATATCAACCTAACACATACAAAATGAAATCGTCAGTGGATTTTTCCCTTTTCGAATGAAGTACTAAAAATTTGTAAAAATTTGCATTGGAACTTCTATTTCAATATTTTGCATTCTAACATTTAAATGTTGATTCTTTACGAACTTGTGGTTTGCCTTTTTATTGCATGACCACTGTTTTTCTTTCCATTTTGCAGCAGATAATGATGCAGGATCAGGATTCAGGAGCAATAATAAAAGAAATATTAGCAGCATGCACCAAATTATCAAAACTTGATATTTTTACTCCTTGTTAGAAATAGAATAAAATCTTGTTATATATTTGTTATTATTAGGATAGATTTATTTTCTTCCATATTTTCCCTATTTCACTTTTATTTTAGTATCCCTATTTCCTTTAATAGGTTCAGTCGTTTAGCCTATAAACAATTATTAGGGCTTGTAATGCAAACACTATATTTGTTATTATTAGGATAGATTTATTTTCTATCCTATTTTCCCTATTTCCCTTTTTATGTTTAGTTTCACTATTTCCTCTAATAAGTTTAGCTTTTAATCCTATAAAAGGAGATTAGAGCTTGTATTGCAAACACACCAAAATGTATTCCGTTCTTGTTCTTTCACAAGTCTCCTAAATACTCCCCACTTCAAGGAAAGGAAAATCTATTAGCCTCTAAATGGGATTAGTGTGACGTAGCAAGTTGGTGTTTTAGTAGCCCAGAACGGGCCGTTCCCAATCTGGAACGGGCCGTTCCAAGCTATTAAAATGACCAGTAAATTGTAGCTGAGAACGGGCCGTTCTAGAGGGAGAACGGGCCGTTCTAGATGGAGAACGGGCTATTCTGGATGAGTTCCAGAACGGGCCGTTCAAATTTCAGAACGGGCCGTTCTGCATGTAATTTATGTACGTGTTGAGGGGGTGCAGAACGGGCCGTTCCGGATTCGATACAAGCCGTTCAGGCCACTCCGGAATGTCTATAAATAGAGGTTGTGAGCAGTTGAGGAGGAGAGGTTTTTTTTAGAGAGAAGTTCTAGAGAGAAGGGCTCTGGACTGGAAAGCTAACTTTTGAAGGATTGAAGTTCCGAGTTGAGCTTCGGAAAGGGGATTCTGCTTCTTGGCTATCCTAATCCAATCTTCAGGTAAGGGAAGCTAGGTCTTGCTGATTTTGGTTGTAAATGAGTTCTAGAAACTCATTTGTTGGTTGATGCTTGATGGTTCTTAGTTGAGATTGCTGAAAATGGAGTTTTGGGGTTTTTTTTTTTGAAGAAATTTGGGTTTTCTTTGATTTATGGTTACATGTGTGAAAAGGTGGTGTTTTTGAGTTGTGTTGAAAATGTAGTATTTTAAACGGATTGCATGTGTTGGATATGTGGAACTTTGCAGGTTTTGGGCAAGATTTTCGAACTTGGTGGGCTGCTGCTGAGCTTCGCGCTGAGCGCCGTTCATCGCGCAGGGCACGTGACCACCTGAGGGCAGCATCTAGGCAAGCCCGCCGGGCGCAAAGAAGTGTGCGCCGGGCGAGCTTGAGGATGTTAGCCTCTGGATGGCCCACGCCGGGCGTGACATGAACCGCGCTGGGCGCGATATCAATTGTGACATGTTTTTGGGTTCATGGCATGGCGCCGGGCGCGACCATTGTCGCGCTAGGTGTGGGGACTCCTTGGGAGTCTCTGCCTTGGGGGTGCTAGGCGCAATTTGAATTGCGTTGGGCGCAAGACCTTGGGGAGGTCTCTGCCTTCCCCGCACTGGGCGCGGGTTTGGGCACGCCGGGCGCGTGAGACTCCTTAGAGTCTCTGCCTGGGATGCGCCGGGCGCAATTGGTATTGCGCCAGGCGCGTGTGAGCCTTGGACTCTCTAGTTGGGTCCTGCTGGGCGCGGGCACGCTTGCACCGGGCGCGCTGGCCCCCTGGTGCTCTCTGGTTGTACTGCGCTGGGCGCAACCATGAGTGCGCCGGGCGCGAAGATGAGATTTCACTATATGCTGTTAGATGTTGTTTTATGCTGAGTATGAGCTGAAATTGATGAATATGTTGTGCTGAATAGTTGATAATGCTGAATTACGATGTTGAACTGTAATTGATGAATATGTTGTGCTATTAGATATTATTGTTGATTAAGGATGTTTAGGTTGTGCTGTAAGCTGTTTAGCCGTGCTGTGTTGTGCTGTAAGTTGTTTAGTCGTGATGTGCTGTGCTGTAAGTTGTTTAGCTATGCTGTGTTGTGTTGTGCTGCATGCAAATATAAACTGTTGTAGGCCGTAAGGCTGAGCTGTTGTAGGCCGAAAGGCCGAGCTGTTGTAGGCTGTAAGGCTGAGCTATTGTAGGCCGTAAGGCTGAGCTGTTGTAGGCCGAAAGGCTGAGCTGCTGTAGGCCAAAAGGCTGAGCTGTTGTAGGAGATCTCCGAGCTGATATGCATGATGACGCATTGTATGTTTTATTGCTGTTTATGTTGTTATAGCCGCTATGTCGGTGTTGTTATAGTCACTAATGTGGTGCTGTTATAGTCGCTAAGTCGGTGCTGTTATTGTTGAATGCTGTGGTATTTTTAAGCTGATTGATGTGCTGATAGTTGTAACTGTTTACTATTCACATATTTATATATGTATGTTGTTTCTTTTCACTAGCTTACCCTTTGTTGTTTCCATGTGGTTTGGACTGCGATGATCATACTATGCATGGGAGCAGGATAGGGTTAGGTTGGTGTTTGCTGAGGAGAGTTTGCAACTAGCAGATGGAGTTTTATTCTTTTGATGTATTTAGCTACTTAGTTAGCATTTGCTGGATGTATTTTGTACACTTTGATTCTAGACAGATTTGGACCTTGTATATATATATATTCTAGATCCTATATGTATATACTTGTTCGTTTCTATGTAGTATTCTGGTGTGCTGTGTTGTGTGTATTGACCAGGCGGGTCGTTACAATTAGTGTTTGTATTGCAAACACGAATATATTCCTTTCTTTTTCTTTCAAGTCTCCTAAATACTCCCCCTTCAAGAAAGGGGCAATCTATTAGCAATAACTAGAAACCAATGAAATCAATTAATAAATAAACGGCTAAAATAATTTTTGGTCCTCTATGTTTAATTAAAGTCTAAATTTTGTCCTCTCTTTCTTGTCCATATTTAGTCAATTTGGTTCTCAAGCTTATTTTTTATTTTTGACATTTTTCATTCTATCAAAATTGTTACAAGCACGAAAGATAAAAAAAAAAAGGGGAAGGCGTTAATGCCGCATAAGATGATTTTGACTAATTTTACTAGAAATCCACACAAAAAGGTGAGGCAAAATACAACTCTTACACGATACCCCAAACCCAACACAAATCCCCATCACTTGAACACCTCACCCATCTGTCTAAAACCACCAACCACCACCACCGTCCAAACTCAAGCCAAGATGTGCCCTACCAGAATAGGTTTTCTTTGTTGCAGCTTAATATTTAGAAGCATTTGTTAAGTATCGGATTCCTTCTTTTTTTTTCAGTGATAGTGTTTTATGGTGATAGAGGACCTGACAAGAAGTGAAGAAAACGAGAATAGAACTTAGTCAACAATGTCCTTTTGAGTGATGTGTTGCCAACTAGGACTCAATTAATGGCATTAGTGCCACATACATGCCACGTAATACATTTATGTTAAGTGGGAAAACAGATTTCAAAGAAAGGAAATAAGTTAGAGGTCCAAATTGACTAAAAACGTAAGATTAAAGAAGGAATTGAAGCTTTAAATAAAGAGACAATGTATATTTTAGTTTAACTAAAATGGACCATGTCAATATAACAAAAATGCTAACAAAACTCTATCCAACACATTCTTTCAAACATGTAGAAATTTATTGGGATTCACCAAATGGAACAGGTCTCACTCCCTACAAAGTGAGTTTGACTCGTAATTTGATAATGCCTGATAAATTTCAATTAATAGTAGAATGTTTGTTGGGAAGAGTGTTCAGAATGTTGCTAGCATTCCATGCCAATAAAATAAAGTCCCGTATATTTGCTGAATAAGTTAACCTAATTCATTTTGAAAAGATGAAATCACTAAAAGGTTATAAAACAAGGATAGGATTATAACAAATCCCTTTTCATTATTTCTTCAGGCCCTGTTAAGCAGGGGGGAAATCTGACTTGAATCGGTGAAAAATATTAATATGCAGCAACACTCGCAACTAATCCCATTTTGAAGTTCTATGAAATTTTAAATATATTAAAAAAGGAAACACTATAGAGATTGCATATACCTCCAATATCCCTGGGTTTTGCATCACTATTCCAAGAACACGACGTCTGAGTCCCCTGTAAACAATGTTGTTGATGGTCCCATCTCCATTGATCCATGGCAATATTGGCACACATAATTCAGCAGAAGAAAAATTGAGTGTTTCTTTCTCGTTATCGACACTGGATAAACCATGTTTATCTTGCTTAGAGCCTCCATTCCTATCACAATCTTGATTTTCAGGATTCACATCCCCAGGTGGAAAATTAAGAATTGTCACTCTATGAACATTATCAATGGCAGTGCTTCTTTCACTTGGAGCATCAACAGAAGTAGTATCCCTTTCTTCTGAATTGTAAAGTTTACATTTATGATTACTTTTCTTAATGTTTTTTATTGAGGAAGGATGTTCCTGTCGATGAAAATCAGAAACAGGTGCCAAAAAGTACTTGTGACGGTATAAGGTATCCACAACCCGGACAGTATCATAAGCATTGACCTGTAAAGTAAAGATAATATTATTATAGAAAAAGGTGGGAAAGAATATGAAGGACCAAAAACCAGCCTGAGAATAATTTATTATGAATTTAAGCAAAAATCCTTCAATTTCTCCAAGAGGGAAAGGTCTCAAATCACTACTGCTGTTGTAAACTACTTCAGCAATATATATATATATATATATATATATATATATATAGAGAGAGAGAGAGAGAGAGAGAGAGGGAGAGAGAGAGGAATGGATCCACCTCCAAGTATTGGTAGAGTTATTCTATTTAATAACTAATAGTTTACATTGAATTTTAATGATCTAACCGTTAAATTAGAAGTTTTTAAAAAATAGATCAACTATACATATTTTTACAAAATTCGAAAATTATTTGCTACTTCATTACATTAATTCAAATTAACGTATATTCTTAAAAACATATTATACATTAATTTAAATATATATAACAAAGTATCATATAATTTCCAAATTCTATAAAAAAAAATTGTAAATTTAATCAATTCATTAAAAACTTTTAATTTATCAGTTAGATTATTGAAATTCAATGTAGACTATGAACTATTGAGTAGAATACTCTACCAAAACTTACTCTTCAAGTAAAAGAATATCTCCCCATACACACATACACTAGAAATTCAATAAAACTTAAAAAAGAAACTAAAAGAGTCACTAAAGACACAGGATAACAGTATCATAGCTTCCACTGAGGGAAAGTGTAGACGTAACCAATCTATCAATATTCACAAAGCAGCAAACCTTGAAACAGAGAAAGGGAAAGACCGGAGGAACCTTTAAGAGTTGCCCAAATGCTTGAAGAGCATCAATGATCAATCCATCTACCTCTGCTCCTGAAAGGCATAAAGCCAAAGAACAATATACAAAGTCAATGTTTAAATACTTGAAATTCTTTATAAATATTAATCAATTTAAGGTCAATTATATACTTGGTTAATCTCAGAATCTATACCTGGCAAGTTTATAACCTGGGAAATTTCTCCCATGCTTAATCCTTGGTCACCAGCCTTTTGGATGGCAGCATAAACAACCTGGAAGACCTCAGCACAAATGGCATATGCATGTTCTTGATTGGAAAGCTCTGACAACAAACGTTGAGCATAGCTTGCCATAGCTTCCCAGGGTGATTTAGTATGGTTTTCTTCAAGAGGTATAGTAGGGTCATTAGATTTAGTGATTTCCAACATATTGTCAGGAAGTGAATAATTACTGCTTTGGCCAACATTTAAATGGAAATCGCCATCAAAAGGTTGTCCATTGTTACTATTATCCTTGAACAAATTTAAAATATCAGCTCTTGAAATTATTGTACGGTGTGCAGAAATGATGATACCAGGAAAACCTTTTTCCCGACGAGAAATACCTTCACCTTCTACTCCAAACAAGGTTTTTGTTTTTTTAGCTTTATCACTATATGAAGACTCTGTAGCATCAGATTTACGCTTAGCACTTCTCAAGTCTTCAGCCTCTCCAACACCATTATCTGGTAGGCATGGTGAAATTGAAAGTTCACCCGATGAAACTAAAGCAAACAAATGCAAAATGTCCCCACATTGTAGATCTTCAGCAAGATTAGCACCCATTTCTGTGAGGTCTTTGCTTCTTTCCTCCAGCCATGCAGAAAACTTAACAGCTTGCTTTCCAGTATAACATGGAAATGGTGACCTAGAAACACTCTGCAAGAACTGTTGTGATAGTTCAAAACGTTCACCGCCAGTGCCCCCAATCTGTCAAATGTCAATGTAATTAGAACTTCTACAATAACACGCACAGAGATACACACATTCAGGTTGTTAATGTAAAACAGTAACTAATACAAAAGAGGAGAAAGGAAAAGAAAAAGAAATCAGTAGTTACAAATTCTTGAAGTGCAGAGTCAAATTAAAATACAGGCAACAACATCAGAAAAATTATCACAAACTTTCAGGCTGCTTAGGGAGCAAGGAATTACCAAGGGGGGTTGCTCATCATAGTTTTGACCTCTTCAGAAATCTAAGGAAACATCCATCATGTCTTTTAAGGTCAAAGGAAAATGTTCATTACAGTTATCAAAAAAGTTTAGTTAAAAAATGAGTCTTAGTACAGAAAAGACTGTAATGACCCTGATTACTTTTATTTTATAGTGTATGGCTACCATTGATTTTGAAGTGAATTACATAGCTTGAATAAGTATTATTTCAAATACACTATCTAAGACCTAGCTTGGGTGGCATGTAGATGTAGGAAATTTTACAGTAGTATAAACATATTTTAATCCATACTCAATAATCAATATATCCTTGTAAACCTTTGAACATGTGTATAGAATTTGGTAAGTTAGGTGACTAATCAGTGTATATGTGTATGTTTATAATCTGTACAGCATTTAATAATTGGAAGGTGCTAATTCTAATGGCTAACATACAGGGATGAATTACTTAATTAGCTAAAAATTGGTAACAGCAAATCTGAGTTATACATGTATCCCTCGTTTACACATGTTAAATTCCAATACCAACAACACAAATAGACATTTTCTCACCGAATTAAATCAACATTGACACAAAATTCTCTTAGCAGCCGCCTTCAAATATATATCCACATTACATATCTTTTTCTTAATGTTAAGCTACAACTCACTTATTTGATTACTTCATTTACAGGCTTTAGAGTTTAGATATGTTTGTTTTGTCTACACACCACACATTTTATGACGAAGTGCTCCAGAAACAATTGGTAAAATATGAGCAAACATGATATAGAAATATGATCTTCAGTGTTTAGTGTATACATTATAAAATTATGAGGCACATATTTCACATGATGACCAATATAAAGATGACTGCAGCTAGTAACAGTAAATGGTTAAGTTAAGCACATAACCAATAAAGGTCACATCTCATGCAGCCAATACAAACAATGATATTGAGAACAATTTACCATAATTTTTTTCTCTCTAAGATAGTTAAAAGCAGCAAATAGATCATGCTCTGTGTATCGCCGAAGAATGTCAGCTAGTAAATTTGGTGCCCGAGGACCTGTTGAGGTGCTTAAAAAGACAAGTTTAAATAGCTCTACAGCGTTTGAAACAGCCAATGATTCGTTTACTTGTGCATAAGCATTAGCCACATTATTGAAAAACATGGTAAATTTAGTATCAAGGCGCCGCCGCCGCCGTGATCTTTGAGCAGAAAATGTATGGGGTTTCCCATGATGACTCTGAATAGTTTCACGAGGAATAGCTGACATATTTTCTTCATTTTCTTGAGATTCCTGCCACAAAATGATTCCTTTAGTCAAAGTGTCAAACAGATTCCAGAATAACTGAAGACTATATAACATAAGCTAAAATAAAATAAAAAGATTCATCCAAGAAAGACAATGAGAGAAGTGCAAAAGGAAATCTGAAAAAAATTAAGTGAAAGTTTGGGAACCCGTTTCCAAGCATCAAATGAAGTAACTTTTTATAGTTTCACATTCAACTGGATATTTTTCACATTGAATGGTAATCCAAACACACGATAACTACTAGACCCAGACAGAAATATATTAAGTTCATTTAGATACTTAGAAGCAATGACTTGAAATTACTGTTGTTAAAGTCTTAGAGAATTACATATCCATCATCCTTCACATTTGCATCTGACCACCCTTCATATTGCAGTTGAACTTTTTGGGAGGAGGCATCCAGCTTAGCCATCATCTTGCAGCGAAGAATCTCATCAAGGGCTGTCTTAATATTTTTGTTGTCAAAGTCATCCCAAGCTTCTCTCTCTAGACTTGTCATTTGAATTTCAACATTAGAACTAGAATTACTGGGGGTACCTTCACAGGACTGGGATCGCACAAACTGTTTGCAATCATGTTTGTTAAATGACAAGTTCTGGGACTTTTCCAGCTGCTTTGCATATCGTTCACTGAGCATGTTACACAGTCTATTCACAGCTTTCCTAAATGTCAAGTTACTATTCAACAAATTCATTCTTCTCCTACAAGCTCGTGGAGAAGATGGAAGATCAGAAATTGACCTCCAATCTATGCGATGATATTTGGCACCAAGAACAGCTCGGTGTTTAACATACTGGATCACCAACTGCCTGAAATGATATAAAATCATAGATACTTAGACAACATAGATAATACCATATTCATAACCTATAATACTTTAATACTTAATAACTACCTACCATCAGACTATACATAAAATAACTGCTCCTAAAATACATTACTGAACTTGATAAAACAAAATACACATATTTAATAATATGTAACTGCTCCTGATTTCTGCCAATAACTGTTATAAGTTATAACTTCCCTTACTCTCGGTTCCCATCATAGTTTGTGAAAAATAAAGCCTTAAAAGAACTCTCTTTTGCTTTAAGCTTGCATACTAATAATGGTAACAAAAAAATACTATACAGTCATTATATTCATCAATTTAGAGCAAACTAAAAATACAAGCCAGAATAAGCTAAATTACATAGCTCAATTCTTTAATATATAAATTGTTCAACTTCATGGATCCATTATTTCCAAACTTATAATCTAACATAAAATAATTATTTGGCTTAACATTTTGCAGGTTCCAAAAATTTCTCTTACCTATCAGTTTTGTCTGACCAAATGAATCTCTTTTGGCGTGTTGGCTTCACTTTGGTTAAGAGACACTGGCCTATAAGGGGAATAGAATCTTGAGGCACACTATCCTCAAATTCTTGAATGTCTGAGGCACACTCTCCTGAATGCATGCCCAAATTATGTGATTCTTCTATGTGCATGCCCACATCAGTTACTGCATCAATTTTTGCACGTTTTGCAGGCCTGAGCTCAGTGAATTTTTTTTGCCTACAACGAGATGAGTTACTGTTGCATTCAGGTGAATTGTCCTCTTTCTCTTCATCTTTGAACTGATTAATGGAATGGCGACGACGCATACTATAATACATGCTAAGTACCTACAAATGCCATTAAAATTAAAAATCCATATGGGAAAGAATTGAAATGGAGGCAATAATACTCAATGAGTTAAATTTTTATCTTACTTGAATAAAGAGAATTTACATTTCCTCATTAAAAGTTTTAAATTCTAGGAGTTCACTTCCCATTGACAAAAATATTCATAAAATAAGTTATATGTTTGGAATAACAGCTTAAATTTGCAAACAACTTTTTTTCTAAAAAAAAAATAGGCTGTTTTTAAGAAGCTGAAAATTTGAAGCTTGATATTATTTTTCAACAGTTTTTTTCTCTTTTAAAGCTAATTTATTATATAAAACTGATTTTTTTTGTTTATATCCAAACGAAATTAAACATCTTAATATTGCTTATCAACAAACTTACCCAAACAAAATTTCATTTTGATTATAATCGATTACAACAATAATTTATTATTCATACAATTGATTATTGAACTAATCTAATTTTCACAGCTTTTCCAAACACACTAAGCAGCATCAGGATCATGCAACAAAGTGTGTAACAATTTAATCCAAGATTAAAGTCATTAATTCCCTCATTGAAATTAATCAAAGGTTTCTTGCCAACTACAACAACAAAATCATGCTTCCTGAGATAAATGTGAAATAAAATTATTTTAGGAGAACATATTAAAGCAACAAACATATTAAACAAGTTATCAAGATAGACAGAAACAGCATCTATTTAATTGAGACAAGACAGGGGCCCATGCAGTTATGTTCCCTCAATGATATACTCATCCAATGTTTTCAAAATTGAGATTTTACCAAGGATCAAAAAGGGGGTGAAGGATCATAACTCGAATCATATGATCCTATATTCCCACCTAAAATATTTATATACAATACATGTAGTTAAAAAATTACGTAGTTAAAAAAAATAACATAAATCACAGCATTAAACAACTTGAGAGTTATAATAATAAGTCATTAACAATATAATTTCCAAATTTCAAATGGTCAAATACTCAAATACATAAAAAAGCAAAACAAATCATAATAGAAACTAGAAAGTTCATAATATATTTGGAATTAGAACGAAAAAGTTAAAGAAAAAAAATATTTTACATAAGGCAATAAAGAATGGCTTTGATGGCAAAAAATTATATAATGCCTAGAAAAAATATTGAATTTGTTTAGTTTCAGTGGAATCAATTTAAAATAATCAAGATATTTAGAATTGGAAAGAAAAGGTTAAAGAAGAAAAATATTACATAAGGAAACAAAGAATGGATTTGCTGTGGAAAAGAAGAACGAATTAATAATAAAAACTAATAGTATGAGTGCATGACGGTGAAGGAGCATAAATTAAAAGAAACAGAAAAGGAAGAAGAAAAATATTACATAAGGAAACAAAGAATGGCTTTGCTGTGGAAAAGAAGAACGAATTAATAATAAAAACTGAATAGTATGAGTGCATGACGGTGAAGGAGCATAAATTAAAAGAAAAAGAAAAGGAAGATTGGCTTTTCAAAAAAGAATGAATAGAAGACGTTACAGGCATTGGACACAGTAAAGGAAGTGTCGAACTCGAACCTTGAACAGAATAACTTTCAATTAACCTAAGGTTGTCTATGCAAACCTAGTAAGTAACTACGCCATGACCCATTTCTGTAACCAATCCCCTTTTTAAAAAAGAAAAAAAAAATTGACTCGTCAGGAATAGACAATCCCACGAAAACACATGGAAGATCACAATCTTACATCAATCTCACTCAGCTGCATTTTTGCATGCGCTTGAGCAAGAAACAGCCTCCATGGACTGCAACATGTGCGATCCCACAAGTTACCCCTTGATTTTAACAACACAGTACTTACCTACTGATACTGAATTATTTTGGAAGGGGAGACGGGGAGGAGGGGTTTACTGTATTGAAATTGCATTTTCCAAAAGGGATAAACAAGCAACAAAATCAATTCAACAGCTTGAAACAAACTAACCTGTTCCATGGAAAGATTAAGATCTTTTGCAATCTTCTCAGAGTCCCTAAATGAAATTTTTTCATTAAGATTGTCCTTTGTTACATGCTTTAAAAGCTCAGCACGTTGTTCAGCTGTCATAAGGCGAGTAGATGCCCATGAACGGAAGCGGAAAAGCTAAAATATAAACAAACAATTACTATCTTTAGAGTTGGGACTGCTACCATGCCATCAAAATATAATATTAGGCTGGAATATAAGGCATTAAAACTGAGAAAGCTTGAAATTGTCCACTGGACAAACTTGGACATTACCTCATGGACCACAGATCCAGGAAATGCATATGAAGCAGCTTTTCGATTAGCACTAGCATAGCAATACTCCAACGTTTTCCAATATTCATCAACAGCATCTCTATTGGACAGAATAAAATCATGCCTGACTCTTGGTCGAAGATCAAGAGATAAAAAACTTAAAGTAGCTGCATCATTTGAAATGGGTTCCTCAATATAAGGCCTAAGCTCCATTGTGTGAGTAAAAGTACGAGGGATTTTTACTCCTCCAGATTGTACATCAGTTACCATCCGAATCAACTACACAAATAAATCCATGTCACACATGCATCATTAAAATTTTACAATGTATTGGTAATCTTACTTATTTCTATCAACTTTTTTTTTTTTTTATAATTTTTTTTTTTTTTTTTTTTTTTTTTTTTTTTTTTTTTTTTTTTTTTTTTTTTTTTTGTTTCCGAACAGTTTCTTTTTGTTTTGGTGGACTTTTTGCCATCTAATTAAAAGCTCGTTGTCTTTCAGAAACTTATTTTTACAGTGGGAGAGAAAAGAATAACCTTATCCTACATACAACAGTATATTATGATGTAAAAAACAAGATGGACAAAACTAAAGCCCAATTTTAACACCATCTGCAGCTAACGCTCAAATAAAAAAGCAACATAAAAATTCCTTAGAAGGGATGAGAAAAGAGGTAAAATAGCCATGTTAAGAATAACTTAAATACATATAAGTTTCACGAGCCATGAGCAGAAACAAACACAGAATAAGTTCAAGACCAACTAATAATAACTTAACACTTTGTTAACTATAATGCTTTTCTTATACTCCTGTAGTCATGTTTTCTTAAGTATTTGATTACTATTTTTAACAATAGTAGTGCAACCAATCGAGTGAATAAAATATTAATATGGTTTGCTTATTAATGTTATGCCTAAGTATTTTAAATCAGACCCTAACTAACTAACCACTAGTTACCTATCAATCTATCTAGTTTCTTTCAGTTCCTTTCACTTATAAAAAGTTAAAAACACTAATCTTGATTCTTAGTACATTATATTATATAAAACATAAATGAGTAAAACTTCTTTAGATTGTTGTCATAAAACAATTGTGGTAAAGGAAATTAACAAACTCAAATCAGTGTGCTGAATGCTTCAAATGATGCTTTGCTTCAAAATGAGTAGGGAGACAAAAACAGAGACAGAAATGATAAAGACAACCCTTAATTTTGACATATAAAAAATCTCCCATGTCAACGTTTCCCCAAAAGAGATCAACAGGTAATTTTGTCCACCAATGATGTCTGCAACATGTTAAGGGATTAAATATATTTTGGTAAAGAACACTCTAGCATGTTAAGTGGTTAAATACTCCACCACTCTCAGTCCCAGACCTTAATACGATGAACCAGCAAAACAAAAGTAACAGAAAAAGATAAATTTTATACCATTCCGTTTGAAAACATATACCTCAAATTTAACTAAAAAATAAACAGGAATACCTTTAATCGCCGTAAAATGTCAATAACTAATGACAGCCTTCCTGTTGCTTGAGCATCCATTAAACACTTGTACTCCTCTAGAGGAAGATCAGAAAGACGTAAACCCATCTTGCACTTTTCAATCATTTCTTCGTATTTTTGAGTGGACCCAACAACTTGTAAGAATAATTCAACTGACATTTCTTTAATAGTTGCTTCTATAGAAAATAGTTTGCTGCTACTATGAGGAGTATCAGTTAGCTCATAGCCACATTTTCTAATTGATAAACCAGAAATATGACTTGTTGACCTATGCAGAGAATCCCAAAGAAAGCTGTGCAGCAGCTTTGCACGAAGCATTTTTGCTAATACAAATCCATTAGCACGCATGGCTTCTGCTTTACTAGCCTGCCCATCTGGAGCTATTACACTTTCAGTTTTTTGAATATCTTCCATTACAGGTAACAAGTCGTCATTTTTCTGATTTGAAGTACTTTTGCTGCGAATATAATTATTAAATGATCGCACTCTATCTTGAATTTCATCAAATAACTCAGGAGATAGATTCATAGATGGATGCACAACTACCACACAGTCTTTTGTCTTAGAATATTCAGTAATAACAGGTGAATGTACTGTTATGCATTTGACCTGCCCTAGTTCCTGAAGTTTGGTTAATATTCGGTCAATAGTCTTGCGGTCCACTTTTGTAGACTTATGCCTCTCAAAGCTATTAAGAAATCTACTTATCTCAGATTTCAAAATGAACTTTTCATCCTGCATGAGTGAAAACATAAAAAAAAATATCTTAGAAATGGAGAATACAAATTTTAAGGAAATAAACATTTGCTTCATTTGCAACAAGGTTAGGAAGGGGGAAAAAGACACCTTTAATCTTTCGAGTATCCTATTTGCCCTTCTAGTGTTATCCACAGTGAAAGATAAACTTGCATATCTTTGGGATGACCCTGCAGAGAATGGTTTCAACACATCAGATGGAGATGCTCCTGATGGTGCATTGTCTGCCTCCACCGATGAACTGACATATTTGCAGTGAGAAACTGTATCTCTTCGGTCAAGGACCAAATCTTGCAAAGCTGTTGCTGTTTGTACAGAGTTTGACTCAGTATTTCTTGGAGATATACAAGATAGTTCTGCACCAACTCCTCTATCTTCCATTTTTTCAGGGGCAGCAAGTTCTCCACTAGTGGTTGAAGCGTCAAATTCAGATATTATTTTTGAATTGTCAGGCACACTGTCTAAACTTTTATTTTCATCAAGCTTGCAAATAAGTTCAACTTCAGGTTCAGGTTTGAAATTTTTATATGTCCAAACTCGAATTGTCTTAGATTTTAGGCATTGCTCTTCCTGCACTTTCATTCCAAATCTATAGCACAAATTTATAAGTCGAATGTGATTCTTTTTCAGTTCAATCCCAAGCCTCTCACATATCTGTTTTCAAGAAACATTGCAATAAATTCAAAGTGGAAAAGCAACAATACTCACATTTAAGTGTGCATCATTGAGAACCAACCCTAAAAAACAAAACTTCATTTAAAGAGAGAAAAGATGAAAAAGAATGGAGCTCATTTCAGTTAAAAAGTTCACAAGTGTATAAAGGAGATAAACTTCCCAAACAAAGAAATGATAAGCCTAAATAAATCTTTTATTATTAAAAAGATTTATTACATAGAAATGAGAGGAAACACTTGGCGATACAAGTAAGCATGGCAACGGGGCGAGTATGGGACGGGTTTCAACATCCCCGTCCCCGTCCCTGTTCCCAAACCCCATATTCATCCCCATCCTCGTCCCCATACCTAACAGGTATAGGATTTGTGTCACCATCCCCATTCCCGTTGGGAATCAGATATACCCGTACCCGTTCAAAAAAGTAATAAAATAATTTTTTTGTAAAAAAATTAAAAATAAAATTTTAACATACAATAATAATTATAAAATTACATAATTAAATTTTATTTAACATAAATTTAAAATAAAATAAAAATTACATGAATATCAAGTAAATTCTTTAAAAAAATAAATCAAATTTTTAGAAATTTAAAGCGGATATAGGTATGAGACGGGTATGTATATACCCATACCCGGTTTGATGTATCGGGTATTACCCGTATCCGGTAAAATCAAGTAATCTCCATCAAAGTTGAGGCGGATTCGGATATTACTCGCAGATACGGGTTTATTTGTCATCCTCAGATACAAGATACTGTATCCTCCAAGTAGAATAGAAACAACTAAATATTTCTGCCAAGCCTCCATCCCTAGTCTCTTTGCATATCACATATAGCAACTCCTTTGAAGCAATACCAAGCAGAACACCAATAAGCCATAACATAAACACAAACTCATTCCCCTAAAGCATTTAAATGAGCAACAACCCATCAGTTCCATTATTGGGAACAGAAAAAGAAATCACTCCATCTAATTTTTATTTAGGAAATAATTTCCCTTTTTATCTGTTACAAACTGACCTAGCCATTGAAATATTGAATAAAGACATCACATGCTTTTTAGGCTATCAACCACAGTATGGGAATCCAAACAAGTACCATACTCGTTTAACATCTGTATCTGACAAGAACTACATTCCATAGACAGAATTAAGAACACAATGAAACTGCATCACAAGGTTTGAGTGAGCCTGTGCCTTGTCCATGCTTTGAGCTAAAAGAGCATTTACATAACACAACCAATTCACTCAAACAGTCTAACATCATCCTTACCATCATCTCAACAACTATATCTCACTATATATAAATCCATTGCAACCATTTTCTTACCAGTACTACATTAAAAACCACAAATTACATCGCAAAATATCTCCTCTTAAATCTCCTCTAAACAACATGAATTCAAATATAAAATCCATAAGCAAGCTTAAGGAAGTGCTTTTATAAGGAAATAACCCACCTCTGATCCATCTCAATTCATCAATGTCCCAAACAATATATATCAAAGACTAATTTATTGTTAATTCTTTCTTGTTTACCAAAGAGAATATAGGAATCAAAAGTGTACCTCCTTCAAAGTAATGCCACAAGATCCAGCAGCATCAATAATATCAAAAATTTGATGCTCAATGGGAAGCTCCACAAGCTGATCATTAACTTGACATATTTTCCCAGAGTTCAACTTTTTATCTTCATTTCCAGATCCAGTAGTTATTGGATCAAGAAGCCGCAAGCAAGCCTCAATCTGAAAACAAGTAAAGACTTACATCTATACTATCACCATAACAATGTTATATCAACTCATGGCCAAGGGTTGGGGGGTGAGGGGGTTGGCTGATGGTACAAAGTACAAAATATAAAGTACAACCATGAGACAGATTAATCTTTATTAACCTAGAAGGCAGAACAATGAGACTTGAAAAAAGAGGTTTGGTTACTCCGACACTATTAATCTCATGTCATGAATAGTGGAGAATTTGTCATCACTGTCATGTTATTAGAAAGAATTGTGTTAAAATAAAGAACCACCAAATAACCATATTTTATGTTTTCAGGTAACTACATGATCAATTAGGTTCGTTCTTGTTTTGCAACAGTAAAAAGATGTCATTGCCAAGAAATTCTTGGATAAAAAGGATACATTGCAAACCCAAACAATCTGTTTGTATCCTTAATGTGATTGCTAGTTTATTTATTTATTTTTGACAGACTAATGTGACTGTTAAGTTGATTTTGCTTCCTATAAGGGGAAGAAGATTTCTAATGCTTGCAAGACATTGCTAAGGCAATTCCAATCTGCAGCAGAGACTAGTAACACCATTCATCAAACAGAGAAGTATAAAAGCAATGGATACAATGTAAACTCACCTTGCCATTCACCTTGGCGTCAAACTGCTCCACAATACCATCTGCTTTCAACTTATGAGAAATCTGGTCACAGAAGAGCAATAAGGCAATCGCGACACAACATAAGACATAACTACAACTTTGGAAAGTTAATTCAAAGTCAGAAAACATACATGTCTCCAAGCCCTTTGTCTTTGACGCGATCCACAGTACCCAAGCTCCTTCCTAATACCAGACACAAGAAGAACCTTGAAGAAAAAAATTACAACAAAAACATGATCACAAACGAATACATCACCCGGTAGGTAGCATTAAACAGAATCAAATGAAAATGAACCTTGCCATCGGCTTTCGCAAGTTTTTCACAAACAGCTTTCATTTGAGGAGCATAATCATTAAGATGAACATCAGTCTTCAATGTGGCTCCATCTGTAACCTCCTCGTAGTCATCCTCCGGCGCATTGAATTTGGTAATTTCAAATTCAAGCCTCTGGTGAGAGGCGAGTTGTTTGGCGTAGCGACGCAAGTACACCAGATGCGTAGTCACACACGGGTAGTTCTTCGATTCGCCACTCGTGGAGATGTGTTTCTTCTTCTCAATAGCAGAATGCTTGACAACCAACCCCTGACACTCGAGACTCCGCAAGACATAGTGGAAGTTATTGGGATCAATGCGCAATTGTTTAGCGAGCTGAGTTTGAGTGATACCGTTGGCTCTAGCGTTGGCGAGAAGGTGAAGGACACGCATTTGGGCTTGTTGAAGCGTTTGGGAATCGTAGAGACCGACGAAGTTTTCAGCGAGGCTCTGCTGAGGGAAGATCTTTAGGTTTAGGTTTTCGGCATCGTGTAGCTCCGAAGAAGAGGGTTGCGGTTCGAAGCGGAGAGTGGGAATGCGGAGTAGGTTTTTCCATATGGCTTTCTTCACAGTAGGAGAGAGATGGAGATTGGAGGATGAAAGCGAGGGTGAGGTTTCGAGCTTCGACCATAGGTCTGCGAGAGTGACTCCGTTTTCAATCTCACCGCATATCTCTTCCAATGCCGCGTTCACAACGGAGTCCATTTTAAGGTATAATTGAAATTGAGGACTATTCGATTAGGTCTAATACAGACAGTGCCACGTAACCCCTCGCTGCGTTTATGAGAACGGCGGTGAAAGGTGTAAGCTCTGGAAGGGTGAAGCTGAAATTGGGAAGACGGAAGATTAGAATATTGAAGCGATTGAGAAGAAACTGGAATGAGATGACTTACATTGCGAAGGGAGGGTTACGTTGAAGCAGTGGCGGAGCTTGAGAAAAGTAGTGGAGGGACAAAATAATTTTAAAAGGTGGAAAAACACGATAATCTTTTTTTTTTTTTTTTTAATTTGATTAATAATACTACACGTGGGTACTGTACATTGCCTAATGCCTATTATGTAACTGTGATGTTTTGCGCGGTTTCTAATTTTTGGGCCAGAGACCATTTTTTTTATAAAATAAATTAAATTAAATTATACTTTTATCTTTTATTTTTATTTTTATTTTTTAAATTAATAAATTTATTAATTTTGGAGCAAGAGGTTATTTTTTTAAAATAAATTAGATTAAATTATAATTTTTATCTTTTATTTTTAAAATATTTATTTTAAATACTAATTTTTAAATTTGAATCAATTTATTTTTTTTAAATAGTGATCATTTTTTATTTTGTGATACATGAAAATTTTGTGAATTTAAGACGTAAAATTATTAATATTAAATTACTTATATAAAAATAATTAAATTTAATTAACATTCATATTAAAAAAAGATTAGAAGCATAGTAAAAATAATGTGAAAAATATATTTCAATAAATATCTAAAAAAATATTATGAAATTAGATTTTTAAATTTTTGTGTGTATTCTTTTGTATTTATTTTTATGTAAATTTTGTATAAATATAATATTTGTTTTACATTTCAATTAGATAAAATAATTTTCATATAAGTAAATTTAATAAGATAAATTTCAAATCTTAAATCAATAAAAAAAAATTAAAATTATATTTTTAAATTATCAATAATTATTATTTTAAAAGAATCAAATCCATCAAAATTTGGAACAAAATTTTAAAATTGATCAAAATTTAAAAGGATCAAAATTATTAAATATAAAATTTGTATACATTTTTTTTAAAATAAATGAATAATATTTTAAATTTAAGATAAATAATTTATATTGTGATATAATTTTTTTATTTATTGATTATTTATTTTTTTAAATATTAAAATTTTATTCACAAATAAATATAAAATTGAATAAGATAAGTTAATAATTTTAAAAAATTCTTATATCGAAAAATAGTTCTTAAAAATGTTATTATATAAAATAATTGTTTGTATTTAATATATAAATATAATTTTTCCTTTCTTTTCCTTTAAAAGGATAACACATTGTCATTTAAGTATTTGAGATTCTAAATAAATCTTTTAAAATTTTAATTATTTCTTGTTAATAATTAAATGAATTTCTTTTACAACATGATATTTTATAATTATTTTGGTTCTTACATGTAGGTTAATATTATTACTCAAGTTAAACATTTTTTTAATCTATATTAATAATAAAGGATATATCTTTTGCGTCCAACTTTTGTTTTCTAATTTTTTCTTTTAATTAAAGAGTTAATTACCTATACACTGTTAGTGTAAAAAAAATTTATACTGATAACCAATTATTTCCTTTAGTTAACTAAAATATTGACATTATCACCGGTACATAGAGTATTTTTATTCCTTACTAGTTGATATAATTGATGAATTAGGCTTTCAAGAATTTGTTTAGAATTTTTTTAATTCTAAAGATCAATTTGACAACTTTATATCTTTAAAAGATAAAAACAATAATTTAACATTACAAACTTTCATGCACTAAAATGTGATTTAACCCACAGTTTTTCACTCTCCATTTTCCCCCCACAAATTTTACTTTGCCTTAAAAGGAGGTGCACCATTCCGTGTTTAAATCCCTATTGCACCAAGTTTTGTTCATGAATTGAAAAATGAAGAGCAACTGAGATGTGAAGACTATCAAATGCTTTTTGGCTAATAGTTAGTTTTGGGTATATATATACATCATACATTTAGTGTTTGTGGTGTACCAATAGAGACTGCTCTCATGTTTCATTTGGATTGCATCAAAATCATTCATTGTTCTATGATTTGCCAACAATCTGAATGCATGTCTTCTAAAATGCACGATTAAGCTTGAATTAATGTCTACATGAACTCTTAGTTTCGCTTCACAACCGATCACGTTGTCTCTGGCCCATGTATGATGCTTCTCAATTGTTAAGCACATATCTTCTCTAAACCCTTTTTTGTAGTACACAAAAGTTCGTTGCACACTTTTTCACCTCGACTATTCTTCACAACTTTGCTTTTCTTTCACTAAATTTGTTGACTCTTGCAAATCAATAATAATTTTTGTAAGCCATTTCAAAACTCACAAATTCAAAATTATTGACTTCGTGAAAATCTTGGATTTTTCAAATCTGAAGTAAAAAGGTCATATTCAGAGTCAATAGTAACGTCATTCTCCATTTCAACAAAATCAACATCTTCAACAACAGAACAAACTCTTGTTGCCCCAAATGAAAGTGGTTCTATTAACACCCCAGTCCCCAGATCTCAACTGTTCTTCAACAAACCACCACCACCACTCTCCAATCTCCCTATGTTCCAATGTGTGAAAACGAACCACCCTTGAAACTCAATTGGTTCAACACGTACAAACCGTTAACAGTACAATATCCTAAAACTCTATGAGAATATGCAAGACACAAGTCACACAACTCAGATTCGAAGACTAACAATTTTATATTGTAAAAATCCAAATATTGTAATCGGGGAAGGGATACAATAACCTAGGACACAAATTTCAGGTGCCCATCATATCCATTAAAACAAAGTATGTATGTCATTTTACCTTAAAATGAACATATATAAATAAAAAATAAATATTTAAATATGGCATTTTTGTAATTTGACCATAAATTGATTTTATTTAATTAATAAAATATTTCCATTATTGTTTATGTTATGAATTGATGGACAACTTCTTGTTATTCTTCACAGAAGAAGCCATCATCTAAGATTACTTATTTCTTTTACCAATATCACTGTTGAACACCACTAGTCAATACAAAAGATATGAGAGGCAGATTAATTCTAGTATTTGAGATGATTCTCAGTGAGCTAAGCTTTAATGGAGTGCTTGTAAGGACTTTCTAGGGGTGCTCATGGTTAGGTTATTTAAATAACCTAACCATAACCATAACCATTTTATAACCATATCTATAATTAGTAGTGCTTGTAAGGAATCTCACACTCAATTAAGTGTTTATAAGATAAAATAAAGAATGTGATGTCAAATAGAGTCCTTCACTTGTAGGATGTTGGTTGTATAGTGTAATAGTGTTGGGTCAGCTTGCTGGCTGTAGACACCCAATTTCGTCCGGGGGGGCATACAAATAATAAGATAGGACATCAGAGGGCCCAAAGGCCCAAATCAACTTTTTTTAGTGGCCCGGAACGGGCCGTTCCAAAATCGGAACGGGCCGTTCCCAAGTTCGGAACGGGCCGTTCTAGAATTGGAACGGACCGTTCCGAGGCTTCTAAAAGGCCTCAAAAAAATAGGTTGGAACGGGCCGTTCTAGACCAGAACGGGCCGTTCCGAACCAATTAAAGGGGTTAAATTTTTTACCCCAGAACGGGCCGTTCTCACTTCAAAACGAGCCGTTCTGGTTCCCCGGAACGGGCCGTTCCGATTTCAGAACGGGCCGTTCCAGGGTACGAAAAAACCACATAACGTTCGGATTTGGAACGGGCCGTTCCGAATCCAGAACGGGCCGTTTCGGCCCACGTCTGATGCCTATAAATAAGAAATCTCGGGCACAATTCAAAGGACCTCCAAAATTTCGTCCAAAGTTCCTTAGAGCTCGAAATTTCTCCCTTTTTTCTCTCTCTCTCCTATTGTACTTCTTGAGTTTTGTGAGACTTATTGTAGTGTGAAAGGTTGCCACAAAGCACCTAAAATCTCCATAGTTGAAGATCCAATAAAGCTTGTTACGAGGTATTACTCATCAATCTCTTGTTTTATCTTTCTCTTCTTTTATTTTACATTGTTACAATAAAAATAATCATGTAGATATTTTAGAGTCAATTGTTTAATTTAAATTTCAAGCATGTAAATAGTCATCAATAAAAGGGGATTTAATATTTATATTATTATTATTTATTATGTTAACTTCGTCATAGGGTACCGATTAAGGGCGTTGTAGGGGTGCTTAATACCTTCCTTACACGTAACCGACCCCCGAACCTAATTCTGGTTATCAAGGCCATTATTAGACTTTTAAAAACCTTTTCTTTTTCCAATGTTTTGAGTAAAATATTGGTGGCGACTCCATGAACTTATTTTCAAAACCATTAATTAAGGATTAGTCTGGTGTCCGGACATTCCTTAATTGATGAGACTTTTAAAAGGATGTCTAAACCATTAGTCGCAAGATCGAAAATTTTCGGGTTGCGACACATGCCTTATTTGTTTATTTGGGCCTATATAGTAAAAAAGGAAAAAAAAAAACAGATTATTTTAGAAGCTCATTCTTTTGGGTGCAAAATATCCTTTTCCTTTTTCTTCAACGGAATGAACCATGCCAATTTTTCTTCCCATGCTTTACTAAACAAATGTATAATATTGTTGCTAGCATAATGATGTGTGGAACGATAAGAATAACCTCAGGTGCACATCAACATTTTCCTTAAATTAAAGGAAACGAATATGAATCAAATCAATTGTTAAAACAACACCTTCCCGTATAAACAACACTTTCAAGGGTATAGAGTATAGACCCTCCGCAACAGTAACATCCTCAGAGAAAAAAAAAACTGGTTTCATACTTCCATTTATATATATACACAAAGTCATAAAATAAAATGAAGTACTGTTATAGTGGAATCATTTATCATCACGAGCACCTAGAATCCAACCCACAAAGTAAGCAGCGAAAACAGCGTTATCATGAGGATCCCCCACCTCCCAATCAACGATTTGAACCCTTGTGATCCACTGCAATGAAGCTTGTTATTATGGTAAGAGCACACCTGTCGTTTCCTGAACTCGAAAAACACAAGACATTATTATTCGTTAATAATAAAACATATATATATATATATTAATTAATTAATGGGCATAAACATAATGCATGTAATGAAGATGTGAACCTGGAAGAGCAGAAGGCTATGACATAATCGGTCCCTGAGCAAGTGAAAATACTGGTAGGATCATCGTAAGCATAGCTATAAGAAGTAGGGCAGGCGTCCTTAAACTTCTTGGAATAAAAGGTGGGCTTGCACGTGACGGGGTTACCGTAGACGCCTCTGCAGCAATACTCATCGGCGTTGAAGACGTCACAGGCGCTGCGGCACCCAATGGTCTTGCCGTTAGCCTTGACGGCGAGTTCCTTGGGGCAAGTGGAGCGGAGGTCGGAGTCGCAGCCGGCGGTGGAGCAGTTGCCCTTTCCGTTAAGGGGCTTAACGGAGATGGGAACGTTGAAGCCGTCAACGAGGCTAACGTCGTAGAAGTCGACTTGGGCGAGCGTGAACTCGGCCAGCGATGCGGGGGTTTTGCCCGAGGCCGAGCACTTCAGAGTGCTGCCGCACGAACCGGTTTGGCACTGCCCGCTTCCGCTTTGGTCGAACTTGCAACCGGTTCGGGCCCATATGCGCCCGCTCCAGCTCACCGGGGCGGTGAACACCTCCGATTGGCCCGGTTTCAGGACGAAACCGCCGCCGTTGAAGTATTCTCCGGGGGTCACTGCTGGCCATAGAGTCTCCTTGCAGTAGTTTACTATGGTGAAAACTCTCGCACACTCGCATGTTCTTTGTCCTGTCCCAACCAACAAAATTTAACCTTGTTTAATTATAATACACGTGTAAAAGTAAAACATTCATGTAACGTTTTCCTATAGCTTAATTCGTACTACTAATGTAAAAGATTATATATATATATATATATATATTAATTCATGTTCATGTATAGTGAAGAAAATGCTTTTACGAATTAATTTGTATATATAAAAAATGATCAATGATCATGGATATATATTATTACCTGATAAAATTATGGCTAAGAGCAAAGTGATTGGTAAGGTGATATGAAGATGCAATTCCATGATGTTTGTGTGTGTTGGGTGGGGAAGGGAATAATTAAGATACGAGGAAGGAAGTGATGGGAGGTGTGAATATAAAAGAAGGGTGAAAAAGGAATACGTGCGGAAAGAAGGGATGTGAATCGAAGCAACAAAAGGTATGCATGCATGTTGGGATGATTATTATTCTTTTCCAAGTACATAGCTGCAAGTTTGTTGCTGAATTATTACATGGCGGCAAGTTTATCTAGGTTCTATGCTTCCCACACTTTCCACAACTTACATCAGGGCCTAAAGCCCACGCTTTATCATGTGACACGTGGCAATAACTTTCACTTCTTCATATGTCTAAGCACTGGGAATTATTCTAAGAACAACTTTAAAACTTTAAGTCAAGTATCTTAAATATGTATTTTATTGCAAATTATTGAATTTACATCTTGTTAAAGTAATTCATAAGTAACTCGTTAGTTTTTTTTTTTCTTCAATGATTAAATTTTAAACAACTCTTGAAATATCTAAACTTTGTGCTTTTTATGACTTAAATACATTTTTAAGCACTTAAATGGATTTAATTTATTTTTTAATTAACTCTCAAATTTAAAATTAATTTTTAATTTTTATAACTTGAATAAAACAATTTATTTTTGTTTTTTTACTCAAATGCCGTAAGTGAATCTATTAAATAAAATTTACTTGTTATTGAATCAAAAAATTCATTTATTAATGTTTTTGATAGTTAAATTTAATTAATATTGTATAACTATCTTAATTTCTCATTGTCAATTATTATATTAGAGAACAATATTTTTTTTAAAAACAATTACATGAGTTAAAAGACCAATTTCAAATTTAAGAGAATAAAAATAAATTTATACTATATTTGAAAGACTAAAAACATATTTAAGTCTTTTTTGATTTATACTTAATTTTGTATGAAATTAAAATATTAGTCAATTATTTAATTATTTTATATAAAATATTAAACAATAAAAATGTATAATTTTAAATTAATTTTGTCATTATTAATTAAAAATAATCACAAATTAGTAAGACTATACAATTAAAAATGATAAAAATGCATGCCAATATATTAAACAAATGACAAATATAACCCTAAGCGTGTGGTTCAGCGGTAGGGGTTGATCCACGCTTAAGCAAGGTCAGGGGTTCGAATCCTGCCTTGTGTATGTAGCCGCGTTAAATCTTGGGGCCAGCTATCCCACCCTTTGAGGTGCCTCCAACGTAGCGAGGAAATTAGTCACTGCTGTCGGCGGTGGATTACTACAAAGATAAAGTTAGAAATGATTTTGTTTATCACAAAGACGTGCTTTTATTTGTAAGTACATGGTGGATTTTCGATTTAACTCAATTTTATTACAAGCTGATTATAATTAAGAAATATTTTTTTTAATTTATATACACTATTATAATAATATCATTAGTCAAATGTGGAATTAATCTCCTAGATCTTTCGCATAGCACTTGAAAGTTGAAACAAGTCGACAACAACGACTTTAGAGAAGGTTGAGACTATCATTGCAGGGAACTACTTAGAAATGGAGAGGAGAGGGGTGGATTCTAGCTCAGTTAAGTACTACAAAGATAAAGTTAGAAATGATTTTGTTTATCACAAAGACGTGCTTTTATTTGTAAGTACATGGTGGATTTTCGATTTAACTCAATTTTATTACAAGCTGATTATAATTAAGAAATATTTTTTTTAATTTATATACACTATTATAATAATATCATTAGTCAAATGTGGAATTAATCTCCTAGATCTTTCGCATAGCACTTGAAAGTTGAAACAAGTCGACAACAACGACTTTAGAGAAGGTTGAGACTATCATTGCAGGGAACTACTTAGAAATGGAGAGGAGAGGGGTGGATTCTAGCTCAGTTAAGTGCAAAATACCTGAGCCCTTCTGGCATGGTGGTTCTGTCTATGATGCATGGTTTAGCTGTGCTTCTAATATTTATTCCTAAATTATGTGAGTTTTGTTTTGATTATGTATTATTGTTAGGTGTGGCAGAACTCATACATTTTGATTACATGTTTGTTGGCATTAATGTTGGTTGCACAAGTGCTATGCCTATTGAGACTACCATATTCATTTTCACAACTGGGGATGTTATGTAGGATTAATTTTCAGCTTTTTTATGGACTAATCACTAGTGCAAAAAGACGCTTTTACGTCACCTAAATCACGAGCATAGCTTTAAAACCTCCTTTAAAAAATCTTTGCAGTTAGCATATCTTTAAAACCTCATTTAAAAAACCTCCACTATTAGTGTAGGTTTAAAACCTCCTTTAACAAAATCGCCGCTAAACACTCAGATTCAATTGCCTCTGAAAACGGTCTAAAGTCCCTCAGAACTTCCGTCATACTATCTTCTTTCGCTGTCCTCATATTAGCCGCTGTCATGGCCTGCATCTCGTCGGCTCATCGTCTGATCTCCTCGTTCTCTCGCTGAATGGCCTTCTCTTTCTCTCTGGATCGTGCTCCTCTCTCAAGCCATTGATCAATGCCATCATCTCCTCCATGGTAGGGTGTTGTGGGTCGTGGTTGGATGTGCCGCCTCTCGCCATAGTAGAGTGTAGGTTTTTTGTATTTCTTGAGGCGTAGGAAAAGTTTCACCGTAGCCCCACGGTGGGCGCCAAAATGTTCCGGCTAAAGGATGGACTAGGGATTCTTCCTAGGTCAAGCCTCAAAGTCAGAGCATTCAAAAGTGTAATCTCTCCCCTCAACTCTAGGGTTTTTGGGTTTTATAATTTCTTGTTCACGGGCCTTATGGGCCCCGAGAATGTAGGGATCTCTTTAGCTGTTCCAATCTGGAAATACTTGGTGAGTGAAGGTGGGACCTCTCCATTGCCGAGTGTCCAATCGGATAATGACCGAGTAGGCCTTTATGGGTGAGTGAGATCAGTATCTGGTTGATGTGGCCCAAATTGGTTATATGCCGATTGACTCTAAGAGGGTGAGTCGGCCAAGGTTACAGTCGGGTGATCAAATGAGGGGAGATCAGGTCGTGAATCGGCCTGGGCAGTGCACGGGTTTATAGTTGACCTCACATGCATAGTAGCCCTTATAGTCCGAAATACCAATCGGCCTACGAGAGAGCATTCCTTTTGGCCAAAGAGTCTAAAACATTGGACGTTGGTTTTGTTGCTAGTTTTTTTTATCATGTTAAGGCCCACTGGAAAAATGTCACGATAGTAACTCCTAGTGATCCATCAATTCCGTTAAATTTAATACCAAGATACTAAAACATTCAACATTTACTAGATTTATTGTATATACATCCTGTTTATATTTATATAGTAATATTTGACACTTTTATACATGTTTTACACATTATATATACAAGTAACTCTAAATGTATGACTGTAAATAAAAGTAATAGTTTCCATTGCTAATTGAGAATTTCACTAAATATAGTTGTCGATTACAATTTAATCCCTTTATGACATGTTATAGAAATCTAAACTCAATGCTGCTTTGGGTCTTAAGCTGTTGATCATAAGTAAGATCGTCTAGCTCTGTTAGGCCACTGAAGTTAGGCTTGTAATTATGAACTTTGACTATAAAATGAGACTTGTGAATTCAATAACAATCCTCTTGCTCTTGGCTGTGCTGCATGCATCTTATTCCGTTTGGGTTTCTTATTTCAACATTTCATTTTTCAATTCTAATTTCACTACATCTGTGTTTTCACGTCATCATTGATTTTGGATGGAGGTCATTTTTTTTATTTATACTGCATTTTTAAATTTTAATTCAACAAAATTTGTGTTGATTTTGATTCATCGAGTTTCTGCACCTTTTTTATATTTGATTTTATTACATGTTTGTAGGAACAAATTGAAGTAGGTTTGACTCAAAGCATAGTTGATAAATCTGAAGTTTCTCCTCTAGATGTTGTTGGTATAGTGCTAGGGCCAGAGCACTCCAGGAGAGTACGATGCATGGGATTGGGTGCTGTTCCTTCTAATAGATTTAGGAATACAAGACGTCGCGTTTCTAGCTTGAGTTCTTCTTCATCTGGTGTTTCCTTTCCATCTTTAAACCAATGGCAAGAGAAATACAACAATCTAGAATAAGCTTTTAAAGCCTACATGATAATGAAGGAAGGAAGGATCCCTGGAGAATTAGCTAGTTATTTCACTCCTGAAACACATGTAAGTAATTAATGTGCATACATTATTATATAATATGTGTGGTATCTTTATCTACATGGTTTGTAGCATGATTCTACTGCAATTTTTGGTATTGGTGGCTATTTTGTTGGTTCATACTCTTTAGTTGCAAGGTTTATATCATGATTCTGCTGTAGTTTCTGGTTAGAATGCTTGTTTTGTTGGTTCATGGTCTTTGGCTTCATGGTTTGTTGCATGATTTCTACTACAATTTCTGGTTTGGTTGGTTGCTTTGTTGGTTTATAATATTTGGCTGCATGGTTTGCAATATGATTTCTATTGCAATTTTTGGTTTGGCTGGATGTTTTGTTGGTTCAGTTCTAGTTTTGGTTGTTCAGAGTCTGAATGGACTACTCTCAGTCCTTGGTTATTGGGTTGGGAACTAGTTGGCTGCTACACATCTCTGGTTTGGTATTATGGTTTTGGCTTCATGGAGTTGTTGGTCTGTAGTTCTAGTTTTAACTATGGGTTATGTTGTTGGTTACATTAATTGGTTGGTCTGTTTTGGTCCTTGGCTAATATAGTCATGGGTGTTTGGAATTGTCATTATCATATAATATTTGTGATATATATTTTTCTTGACTGAGTGTTTTTTCTTTTCTTATTTCAGCCAAACGATGCTTCAAGTGTTCCTAATACACCTTTGGATGCAAGAGGATCATCTGGTGCTAGCAACCCTTAGTTTGCATATATTGTATTTTGGATTTAAAGTTTAGTATGAGGCTAATTTGACAATGTTATGGATTTTATGTTGTACTTGGATTTATAATAGAAGTTTGAATTATAAATCTTTGAACTATATGTTGTGTTTTTGGTTATTAGTAATGGAATTTCTTCATCCATTTTATGTGTATTTTTTTTCATTAAGTTTCTTATAAATATCAAAAGTGAAAATGAGAAATTGTAATACATGTAGATTATGCAATTAAAATGGGTATAAAAATTATTATACACAGGAAAATAAGGAGGATTAGAAACTCCATAAAAATATATTGATTAATGATTGTAATAGTTAATTTACTTTAAAATCTCCACTAAATAATCTTTATTGTTATTCCACTTCAAAGCCTCCAGTAAAAAACCCTCTGCAATTAGCATAGCTTTAAAACCTCCTTTAAAAAATCTTTGCAGTTAGCATATCTTTAAAACCTCATTTAAAAAACCTCCACTATTAGTGTAGGTTTAAAACCTCCTTTAACAAAATCGCCGCTAAACACTCACAATACCAGAGGTTTCTAAAAAATGCCGCTAATTGCTAGCGGCGAATGTAACTGCGGAGGTTTTTAGAAACCTCCGCGATTTATTTTGCGGAGGGTAAAAACCTCCACTAAACGTAAAAATAACCTTCACTGTTTAACTCATTTGTTGTAGTGAGATAAGGGAAGCAGTGTGGAGCTGTGAGAGTAATAAAAGTCCAGGACCTGATGGGTTCAATATGTTGTTCATCAAAAAATGCTGGGACATTCTGAAAATTGATATTACCGACGTAAATTTACGTCGGCCCTTACAAGGCCCGACGTAAATTTACGTTGGTCAACGGCATGTCCGACGTAAAATTGTGGCATGTTTTTTGCCCCTTTTTACGTCGGGCTTAGAGAATCCCCGACGTAAATTTACGTCGGCCCTTACAAGGCCCGACGTAAATTTACGTCGTCTTTCAGAGGCGACGGTAATTTACGTCTCCCGTATTAACGTTTGAACCTTTTCCGACGTAAAAGGCTCAAAATACCCGACATAAAAGACCCTTTGTGTACTAGTGAATGAGAAGTTGAATTGCTTACTTTATTAGTGTTCTTTATCTTGAGTACGAACCAAAAAGGAAAGGGAAAAGGTTGATTTGAGGTGATTATTTTTATAAAGTTTATTGTCCATATCCATCTCTCCCTTGTTTGAGTGTGATCACAGTATTAGAAAAATAATTTAAAATTTTAATAAATTGAGTGAGGAGAAATTGAAAGACTTATTTTAAGAATTTATAATCTTTAGAATATTATTTAGATTTATAAATTTTTATTAATTTATTTTAATATCTTTTAGGAATTTATTTTTTTTAATTAATAAATTATATTTTTCAAATCTTGCATTATAGTTTTGTTCTCTATATATATAAAGTTAAGAAATAAAATCATAATACGTGTTCCATTTAAGATTCTATGTGAGTAATTTTCTTGTGTGAGGAGTTTTTTTTTTCATCATCTGCATCAAAATTGTGATAGAGAACACACAAAAGTTTGACATAATATTATTTAATGGTAAGACAAATTTTATGATTTGGTAGTGTACCATTCAAGATATTTTAGTGTATCAAGGTCTTGATCAAACTTTAGTAGATGAAAAGTCAAATATTATCAACAAAAGTGAATGGAGTTAGGTCTAAAGAAGGTCATGAGCATGATTTGGTTAGTTCTTACTCCCGAGATAAGTGCAAGATGTTAGAGGAGACAATTCCAAAAGTCTTGTGGGAAAAGCTCGAGAGTATTTATGCGTCTAAGTCGTTGACCATTTATGTTTGAAAATGGAGATGTATCAACTCAAAATAGAGATGGAAGAAAATCATCATGATCACATTAATCATTTTAACCCGCTAGTATGCCCATTGTTAAATGTAAATGAATATTTTTTTATGAAGAGCAGGCAATCTTGTTGTTGGTTTCACTACTAAAGTCTTATAAGTTTTTAGTTCATATGTTGCTTGTAGATAAAACATTGTTGAAGCAAAATGAGGTGATAGCCGCTTTAAGAGAAAAAGGGAGAAGATGAAAAATGAGAATATTGATACGGAAGGTCATGCACCAGCCGTACAACATTTTCAGTAAGGGAGAAGTAATTCGTGGAGATAAGATGGGCCTAAAGGATGATCAAGTTTTCAATCACGTTTGGAATGAGACATGAGTAATATGCAATGTTACTAATCTGACCGTTAGTCTGCTAGTATCGTTAGAGTCACCACATCCAAAATTTTGTTCGTTTTGATGTTCATTGGATCGTGATGGTTTTGTCCTTTAAAAGACGTTTCAGTGGATTAAAGAGGGAAGGTGTTTGCTAATATCATTAAGGTCACCGTATTCGCTTTAACGTTCGTTGGGTCATTATGATTTTGTCCTTGAAAATGCATCTTGGTGGGTTAAAGGGGAAAGGTGTTTATAAACCACCTTTAGCTTAAATTCCTAACCGATAAAGAACTTTTAGGCATTACCGGAACAAGTTCTCTAGTTGAGGCTAAAGGATAAGAGTGGCTTAGACTCTGTTTCTAGCGCTAATGTTCCAACCATAAGTTCGCTATCGTGTCCGAGGTATTATCCGCTTTGATACTTATTGGACTATCATAGTTTTGATCTTTAAAAGACATCTTGGTGGTTTAAGGGGGAGAGTGTTTATAAACTACCCTTAACCTCGATTCTAAAGTGATGTGAGACTTTTAGGCATATTATAATAGCTACTATTGTGAGAAGAAAGATCACATGCAATCCATGTATAAAGAAATGAGAGATGACCTGAAAAAATTGAGAATTATGAGGAGAGATGATGACAACTCCCAAACCAATGTAACCCAAAACTTTCATGCTGATGAAGATGTATATTTGACAACTACTATAGAAGTTGCTAAATCAAAATGGGTAATAGATTATGTTGCTTCAAAACACATTTGTAGAGACCAAACGATGTTTCACACTTTAAAAATTAATGGTGAGTTTTCTTAATTCAAGTTAGGAAATGGTGAAAAAGGGGGAGTTAAAGACATTGAGACTATGAGAATGAAATTTGACAACAATGTCATCCAAACTTTTGAAAATGTGAGATATGTATTTTTTGTTGTATAAAATATAATTTCATTAAAAGAGATGACATCACAAGGCTATAGGTATGTTGGTTCAAAATAGGGATGCAAAGTATACAATGGGAGGCATTTGATATTGAAGGGGTTAAAAGAATGAGAAAAATCTTTGCTACTTGGAAGGATAAGTTTTAAAATAAATGTTTTGATCATCTAGTTATTTAGAAATGTTAATCAAGGGAGGATTCGTTGGGAAAATAATTCAAATTTCAAATAATTTGAGTGAGTGAAAATTCAAATTTAAGAATTTATAATCTTTAGGATATTATTTAGATTTACATATTTTTATTACTTTATTTTAATATCTTCTAAGGATTTATTTCTTTTTTTTTTTTAATTAAGAAAATTATATTATTTAAATTTTATATTATAGTTTTGCTTTCTATATATATGGAGCTAAGAAATAAAATCATGATGTTTGTTCCCTTTAAGATTTTGCATGGATAACCTTATTATATGATGAGGGATTTTCTCATCAGATAGGTTAGTGGATCACTTTATTTTCTTCTTTTTGATATTGTTTGCTATAACTTTGCGGTGCTTGAACTACACTTTATGCAAGCATTAATGTGGAAGCCACAGAAGTTTAAGCTAATCTATCTGATGGCAACATTGTGTAATGACCCTAACTTTGCCATCAGCAGCTGCACTCTATTCCTAAGTTTAAGTTGTTATTCTCATGCTCATTCATCAGTTTAATTAAATGAAATCCATTCAATAAATTCTGTTATATGCATATTGGATTAATTCTTCATGAGAAACTAAGTCAACTTTTACTAAATGACGATGACACTATCTAATGACAACAAATTCACATATTATTGATATGAATTGGATCGCTACATTCAATCCGTATGAATGTTAAACCATCAAATTTTTTTATGCATTTATTCAATTAGTGAATTAGAACCATTGAATGAAGATCACACGACTCATCTGTTGGCGAAGAAAAATGTTTTATTAATTACTCTTTTTTTTCTTTAAAAAGCATTTTCATAAGTTGGAATCTTTATTAGATTAATGACTTTAGAATTAGAACAACAGATACTACTGTAGCTGGTAAATCATTAATTGTAAATTTACTTGATGTCAGAATCTACCCTCAATGCTAAAGACATATTACTGTTAGGTATTTTATTAATAGTTTTATCAAATAAATGAAGTGTTTATTAAAAATATTATTTTATAGATATACAGTAATTTTAAAGTTTTTTAAACAATCATTTTTCGGTAAAATATAATTAGATTTCCAACCAATGCAGCAATAGTGGATTCTGCAGGAAACACAAAGCATATAAGCTCTCTTCAGCATTTTGTAGTTGTACTTTTGAGAAATTTGACACAACACAATTAAACCAAGTCTATGCCATTTAGGAAATTGCTTATGCACGTGACATGCAATAAACTTGAGACTAAACCAAGCTTTTACCAGGATTTTGTCATGAATTCTGAAGTGCACCTGCATTAACTGCTCCATATATATTCATATATGAAGTTAATGCTTTTCCAGTCTGCACTGATAGATACTCAAATTATCATCTCCCAGATTATGTACTAAACAACTACAGAAAAGGTAAAAGAAAACTCAATGACATGATTGCTGCAATATGTGGTTTATACTTGGTTCAAGGAAACCAATAATATGAACTCAAAAGTCGAACTAAGTGCAATATACGTGTGAGTCATGAGATTTCTTGTATTATTTATTTATTTATTATATTCTGCCTCTATTTAATTAGTTTTTTTTTTTATTTCTTGTAATCTATTAGAATTGAGTAACACCTAAGTACTGAAAGACCTTATTGCTTATGATAGGACTTAGCAGAATGGGAAATATTAGGAATAAATTGTTTAACCTATCTATATTTTCTTCTGATTTCATCCATTCTTTGTTTCATTGTATTTGAGTTAGTGGAAACAATTTATCTATGATTAGCATTCAGCACTAAGATGTCTTTATTGTCAAATTTCATGTTAGTATCAGCTGAAGATTGTGTAAAACACTACTTGTCAACTATATGCACATCTTAATAAGATATAAGTAATGCCGATTTCAACAATGACTATAAGCGTAATTGTAGTGCTATTATCGCACAGTTAAGCACCAAATATAGTGTTGTATTCAAAGCAGACATATAACATGTATCAGAGCATCTGGCCATAGCAATAACAACTGATTATTTAGGGAGTATTACAACTTTTAGCGGTGGGAATCAGAAAATGGGGGACCCTCTGTGTTTCTGGATATTGGCTCTTCTCTGCACTTGTTTTCTAATAGGTAAGTAACTGCATTTAAAAAAAATGTTTTACAACATTCTCTCTCACACCCGCGTTTTTTCTTCTTTTTTAAATTATATATATTTTTTACATTTATTAATCATTAAATTTTAACATTTATTCATACTTAGTAGTATAAAAAAATTATGTAAATAAGATTTATTAATAAAATAAATACTGAGATCACTTATTAAAATATATATAAATGAATTTCTTTTTTGTTATTTTTTAATTCTTATCCATGTATGTCTCGTGAACATCATTTAAGTAATAATAGATTATTAAATAATGTCAAAATTTAACAATAAATGAATATTAAATTAATAACATATGACCAAAATTTTGTATTTTCAAAAATAGGGAAACTAAAAATACAATATAATTTTTTAGATATTACCTAGAATACCTCTAACTAATACAGACATTCATGTGTTTATAAATTCATGTCTTTTCTCTTGTTGTAACAATGAAAAATTTTGATATATCTCAATAATCTTTTCCTCAAATAAAAGATTACCTCCTATGAAAAAATGCATTCTCGCTTTATACACGATACTAGAACATACCTTTTAATCCTTATATTATTAGAAAGACTCTCCATATATAAACTCACCAAGAATACTTTTGATACAAGAAATCTCATATATGGATCCACCATCAATTTTGATACAAATTATTAGAGATAACAATCAGATTTTAAAAGAAAAGAATAAACACTCAAATAAATTGTATTACTACATTATTATTAATTAGAAATATGAACCCAACACCTTCAACTCAATTAATTTGTAATCCATTAAATAAATAACTCAATCATAATCTACTTTGCTCCAATATTTATATGTCATTCTAAATATAAGTCATGTCCAATAAATCTAAATATATATATATATATATATATATATATATAT